CGCTGTGCTGCTCCTGCCCAAAGAGATTCTGCAGCATGCCTTCAGGCGGTATGACAAACCCTGTCGCCAAGTCAGAAGACTCTTCTTGTTTCTCAAAAAAACGGGGGGCAGGGAAAATTGCGGCACTTTTCTGTGGTCACCCATGCTTGCAAATTGGGTTTAGGGTAGGACCACAATTAAAATCTTTTCCAGAAGCCTGTTGGCGTAAACACTAGATAGAATCAATACATGCAATAGAAAGCTTCAAACATTCAAACTGGGCTAAAACAAATGTACAAAACACAAATACTACGGAAGGAAACTTTAAAAAATCAACGGGTTTTGCTTCTGTAACAATAAACTGCTTTTTAACTGTATTTTTCTTAAATTACTGCTACCACAATGAAATAAATTCTTACCTCTGATCCACAAAAACAAAAGAGAGACAAGAAAACCAAGAGAACCAGGACTGCTCGCATGATGAAATTTTATCTCTCTTTGTAGACAAATCCCTCTGGCTGGGATTCTTTTGAATGCCAGTTGTTAGACCTGCATTTAATCTTTCACTATTAGCAAAATATTTTAGAGCATGTTCAAAAATAAAAGTACGGGAGCCTCAACTATTAACCAATAAATCCCATCTCTCCAAAAGGACCCGCCGCAGTTTAACTGGTTTTACTGTAAGCACAAGAGCAGATAACAGGACTAAAGCCCTTAAAAGTAAATGATTAAAAGGGAGCACTTATTAAGAACAAACGTTTCCTGTCTGTTGCCAGAGGAGACCGATCGAACCGCCACGCCGGCTCTCCTGATCGCAGGTGTCAGCCTCACCTCTGTGCTTGGGAAGATCATGGAACAGATCCTCCCAGAAGCCCTGCTAAGGCACATGAGGGACAGGCGGGTGATTTGAGACAGCCACCATGGCTTCACCAAGGGCCAAGTCCTGTCTGACCAACCCTGTGGCTTTCTATGACGGAGTGACTGCATCAGTGGGCAAGGGAAGAGCTATGGATGTGATCTATCTGGACTTCTGTAAGGTGTTTGACACAGTCTCTTATAACATCCTTCTCTCTAAATCGGAGAGATATGGATTAGATGGGTGGGCTGTTCGGTGGACAAGGAATTGGTTGGATGGTTGAAGCCAGAGGGTAGTGGTCAACGGCTCAATGTCCAAAATGGCTCGATGTCCAAATGGACGCCAGTGACAAGTGGTGTCCCTCAGGGTTCCGTACGGGGACCATTGCTGTTTAGCATTTTCATCAATGACATAGATAGACAGCGAGATCGAGTGCACCCTCAGCAGGTTTGCAGATGATACCAACCTGAGTCCAGGACAGGATGCGATCCAGAGGGACCGGGACAAGCTGGAGAGGTGGGCCTGTGTGAACCTCATGAGGTTCAACAAGGCCAAGTGCAAGGTCCTGCACCTGGCTCAGGGCCGCCCCCAC